AACAAAAAAACACCCCAATTACAAATCGATTTTAGAACCAAATTTTTTCTTGATCAACCAGGCCTACCATTTTCTTCTCCCTTTTCACTCATACTTTTCACTCATACTGTATACTTTTTCTATCTCTCGTTTCTCTTCTTCTTCTCTTCGTTTCCCTTATATCAGTGGTTCTCAACCTTTCTAATGCCGTGACCCCTAAATATAGTTGCTCATGTTGTGGTGACCCCCAACCATATTTTTGTTGCTACGTCATAACTGTACTGTTATGAATTGTAATGTAAACATCTGATATGCAGGATGTATTTCCATTGTTACAAATTGAACATAATTAAAGCATAGTGATTAATGATAAAAACAGTATGTTTGGGGGAGTATGGACAATGGATGAAGGGATTGGAATTACCGCCAACCGATTCAGCTCTGACTTTTTGGGAATTGCACTTGTGTGAATTATAGTTCACCAGGCACCAAAGAGCATTCTGAACTCCACCAACAATAGAATTGAACCAAACTTGGCATACAGGACTTTCATGACCCACGGAAAATACTGGAGGGGTTGGGAAAAATAGACCCTGACATTTGGGAATTGCATTTGGGTGGATTTATAGTACACCAGGCACCAAAGAGCATTCTGAATGCCACCAAACTTGGCATGCTGAATGAACCAAACTTGACATGCAGGACTTCCATGACCCACAGAAAATACTGGAGGGGTTTAGGAAAAATAGACCCTGACATTTGGGAATTGCAATTGTGTGAATTATAGTTCACCAGGCACCAAAGAGCATTGAGAACTCCACCAACAATAGAATTGAACAAAACTTGGCATATAGGACTTCCATGACCCACAGAAAATATTGGAGGGGTTTGGGGGAGGTATTAACAAAAGATTAGATTTGTCCTGCCTTCAGTTTCTGAAGAGCCTTCTTTGCTGCCTGGGCAGGGGAAAGACGGCTGGGAGCCCCTCGCCCCTTCAGAGGCCGGAGGGCACAGGAGGCGAGCGGCGAAGGCCCCCTCCATGGCCGCGGCTGTTTGGCTCACACAGGAGCCGGCAGCCATTTTGGGGGGGGGCAACCGAGGCGCCTTCGCGACCCCCGGAAAATGGCCCAGCGACCCCCTTGGGGGTCGCGACCCCCAGGTTGAGAACCACTGGCTTATATACTTCCCCCTCTTCTTTCTTTATTTCTGTATTTTCCTTCCTTTCTCTCACTTTCTTCTTCTTCTTTTCTTTCCCCTTTTTTGTCTTTCTTTCCTTCCCTTATCTCATACCTTTCTCCCTTTCCTTTGAAGGCATACAAACCTCTTCCCAAATAGGAATCTCCCTTAAATTGTTTACCACCTTACAGAATGGATGTCCTGCTTGCGGCCTTCAGGGGTGTGGTGTAGCTAATCCTTTCTATCTATACACTGCTCTTTTGTGTTGCATCTAAGCTTTGCATCCATACATATCTGGAGGCCAGGAGCTAATCCTTTCTATCTCTATACTGCCCTCTTGTGTGCATCTGGGCATTTCATACATTCATCCCTTGAGGCTAGGAGCAAATCCTTACTGCCCTCTTCTATTTTATCTGAGCATTACATTCATACATGCCTAGAGGCTAGTAGGTTATCCTTTCTACATACACCTTCTTGTGGATGCATCTGGACACTTTGTACATTCATCCCTAGAGGCCAGGAGCTAATCCTTTCTATCTATACATTGCTCTCTTGTGAATGCATCTGGGCACTTCATAGACTTGTCCCTAGAAGCCCACAGCTAATCCTTACTATATATACACTGCCCTCATCTATTGCACCTCAGGCCATTAGCTAATCCTTTCTATATATGTAGAGGCCATTAGCTAATCCTTTCTATATACACACTGTCCTCTTGTGGATACATCTGGACAGTTCATACATTCATCTCTAGAAGTAGGGAACAAATCCTTACTATAAATACATCACCCTCTTCTGCTGCATCTGAGTATTGCATCCACCCTTACCTAAAGCCCAGAAGCTAATCCTTTCTATTTCAATACTTTCCTCTTGTGGTTGCTTCTGAACACTGTGTACACACATACCTGGAGGCCAGGAGCTAATCCTTTCTATCTATACAGTGCCCTCTTATGATGGCTTTTGAGCATTCCACCCACCCATATCTAAAGCCCAGAAGCTAATCCTTTCTATCTATATACTTCCCTCTTGTGATTGCATTTGAGCATTGCATCCATACATACCTAATGGCCAGAAGCTAATCCTTCCTATCTCAATACTGCCCTCTTGTGGTTGCTTCTGAACACTGTGCACACACATACCTACAGGCCAGGAGCGACTCCTTTCTATCTATATGCTTTCTGAAAAACTTTTTGTTGTTAAAACTTTGTAATTATTTTAAGTTGGTTAATGAAGGATATGTATGCCAAATTTAGTCCAGATCCATCAAGTCACACAGGTGTCTTTGAGCAACAAACCAACCAACCAACAGACACACTTTGACTTTTATAGAGAGAGGGAGTCGGCATGGGTGTGTTGCGACATCTTTACTGCCATTTCCCCTGTTCGTATCCCAACTGCCATCAGCTGTGCTTTGGTTTATTGCTCGTTCTCATGACTGGCATGAAGAATGGGGTCCTGGCATTGCCCACTTCCATCCCCTTTGCCCTTAGTCTGCACTTAGGATGCTCCGAGAGGTGGGAGGCCCTTCCTCTCTGAATGGCGACTCATCACTTCACATATTTCAATATCAGGCCCTTTTCATCCCAAGCTATACGTACAAGAGCCCTCCAAAATGCAAAGCGCCTGCGGAGAAATCATCCCAGGGTTTGGCGCCGGCACCGACAATTAGGAGAAGGTTAGTGAGAGCCACGCTTCAAGCACAATCAAGCCCTTGTCGCGGGATAATTGCAGTGCATTTTAATTTATTTTTACTAAGCAAATTTGCAATCCCACTTAGGACCGAAATGCAAATCTCCCTTGAATCGAGACCTGAAGGTTCTCCTTCTCCCTTCAGTGAACGTCTAGTGATCTCAAATGGATGTTATTTACAAGGAAGCACAGCTACTCCTGTTTGCATGCAGTGTGGGCAACACAGTTCAAATCGCTTTGGGAATAACAACAATAATAATAACAATATAATTCGTTGGGTTGCTGTGAGTTTTCTGGGCTGTCTGGCTGTGTTCCAGAAGCATTTTCTGTTACTATAAATACATCTCTTCTGCTGCATCTAAGTATTGCATCCACCCATACC